TAGAATTGCATGCAGCTCAGCGTAGAAGCGGCATGTCTGCGGCTCTGACCCGGAGTGACCGTTTGCCTCCTTTGTTTTCTGATAGGCTTGTCTGAGCTCCTTGACTTTCACGCAGCACTGCTCTGAGTCCCTATTGTGGCCTCTCTCCATCATGCCCTTGGAGATTTTTTCAAAAGTTTTGGCATTTCGTCTTTTTTTAAGAACAAGGAGGGCAGCTTTGAACTAGGCTCTGGAATACATGGAGAGCCGTGTGAGCAGTTTGAGGCTAGGCGTGATGTGAGCATGCTGCTTTGCCTGGGAGAAAGGCATCCAGTGGCAATCCACACGTGCTGACATCTGGGGAGATGGGCCTTGGGGAGGATATAGAGAGCCGAGCTTCAAAAGAACACTGGAGAGCTTTTCTTTTCACTGTTCCCATCAGTTTACCTGCTGTTCACTTGCTGGGACTCTTCCCACAGAGTTTATTGTTGTAAGTCCGTCATTCATGAACTCCCAAGTGATGCTGCCCAAAGTCATACTGTCTTCATGAAGATACAGCCTGCATCTGAGCTGTGGCCAAAGATCAGAGGAATTTTTGTTTAAGAACTTGCTGAATCTGTGTTTACTGCTGAGTGGCTTGAATCTGCTGCCATTGAAGCTAGTGGGGAATTTTGCCAATCCCTTCAGTGGGGAGCAGGATAAAACCCCATTACGCTGTAACCTATCATTCTCTTAGCCTGTGAATGAATGCCAAATTCTGCTTCACTTTCAGCACTATGTATATTTCCTTGTGGTTTCTGCTGTAGATCTCCTTGGAGTTCAGGAACCTGGCAAAGGTGTATCGAGATGTGATTGCAGATATTTGTCACAAGATGGGAGCTGGTATGGCAGAGTTCTTGCAAAAGAAGGTTGATTCCCTGCAAGAGTGGGATAAGGTAAGTAAATCTGTAAGTGAGCATGGAGAGCATGCTCAGAGCAACACCCACAGTCCCTGTCGGAGGCCTGGCATTCTGCACTTGCCGCAGCCATCAGCATGATCATTAGTTTCTTCTCCCCTGGGATTGGTGACGCTCACCCAGTTGTAGACAGGTACCCAAAATGAGCAAAGGACAAAGTGTTAACTCAGAGTCTTGATACTTGGGCAGCCTCCTTCAATGTGAATGTCAAGAGATATCTTAGCGATGAGATCGCTGTGTAAATTTCACCAGGCATTGAATAGCTACTGTATGTTGTTACTGATCCTTGTGGATGACCGTGTTTGTAAATGTTCACAAAAGAGCCTTGAAGAGATGGTGTCCCTAGCCAAGGGGTCGGCAGCCTTTCAGAAGCGGTGTGCCGAGTCTTCGCTTATTCACCCTAATTTAAGGTTTTGCGTGCCAGAAATACGTTTTAACGTTTTTAGAAGCTCTCTTTCTCTAAGTCTAGAATATAGAACTAAACTATTGTTGTATGTAAAGCAAATACGGTTTTTAAAATGTTTAAGAAGCTTCATTTAAAATTAAATTAAAATGCAGAGCCCCCCGGACCGGTGGCCAGGACCCGGGCAGTGTGAGTGCCACTGAAAATCAGCTCACGTGCCGCCTTCGGCACGCGTGCCATAGGTTGCCTACCCCTGCCCTAGCCTCTGTTTTCCAGGAACTGGGAATGGGTGACAGGGGATGGATCACTTGATGATTACCGGTTCTGTTCATTCCCTCTGGGGCGCCTGGCATTGGCCACTGTCAGAAGACAGGATACTGGGCTAGATGGACCTTTGGTCTGCCCCAGTATGGCCATTCTTACGTTCTTATGATGCTGTTTTGGAGCTCTTTGACTAGAATGGGCCACTGGAGCAGCTGCTCTCATATGGGTCTTTCATCTGGAAGGCGGAACCCTTGAGCCGCTAACAGCTGTGGATGACACATTTCCTATTTTTCCTGAGTGGAGCAGTGCTCTGGTGGTAGACTCCATGCTGCAGAAGCATATTCCTGGTGTAGGGATGTTGGCTGTCGAGCACAGGCATGAAGAGACATGCTTAGGAATGGTTAGCCCATGTAACTCTGAATTCAGAGACGAAATCAAATACCACCGACATAGTCATCAAAACGAGGAAAGGCACACACAGCACACTCAGTAACCGACAGGTGTCATTTTGATGTAGCCATTCGGACTAGGGGATATAGATTGATAAACATTTTTTTCCCTTTCCAAACCTGGCAGTATTGTCACTACGTTGTTGGGCTGGTGGGCATTGGCCTTTCCCGTCTGTTCTCTGTGCTGGAGCTAGAAGACCCTATCATAGGACAGGACACAGAGCTTGCAAATTCCATGGGTGTCTTCATTGAGAAAACCATCATCATCCGTGATTATCTGGAGGACCAGTTGGCAGGAAGAGAATTCTGGCCCAGAGAGGTAAAGGAAACCAGACCTTTTTTAGATGAGAACTTCTGCTAGATACAGCTCATTAGGAAGTGTTAGTGTTGTGATGCAGACAGCTCATCTGAAAGGGACAGGACTGGAGATACTGGAACTGCTTTGATGCAGTTTAGTCAGAACTAGTTAGGAGATTCATTTCACAGAATTCACTTTCAGTTCCTATTCTGATCTCTGGGCTTTTTCAAAAAAACTTGCCCAAGTCTGTTTGTATGGAGTTAGGCCAAACGCTTCTGCCCTAGAGCTCTGAGCAGTCACTTTTAGCAGTGTGTCCCCCACAGGGGCTAAACTCTATTGCTAACATTGATAAATTTGCATACTACTAACTGTCACATGAAGGGATGGCAAGTGCATGATTCACATCCAAACATCTCATTAATGTGTCCATTAAAGCAAAACTCAGAGGAGAAGCTGGAATGTTGGTGCTATTTTTGTCTCCCTGTGATAGAATATCAGTGTTGGAAAGGACCTCAGGAGGTCATCTAATCCAACCCCCTGCTCAAAGCAGGACTAATTCCCAGACAGATTTTTACCCCACATCCCTAAATGGCCCCCTCAAGGATTGAACTCGCAACCCTGGGTTTAGCAGGCCAATGCGCAAACCACTGAGCTATCCCTCGATCATAGAATAAAGCTGTGATCTAGGAGACCAGGCTTATTGTCCTTGGTCATGCACCTGTTCAGCAGAGCATTTAGAGAAACCTCTGCTGTCAGAGAACACCCTGGGTGTTATTGCACCAGTACCATTGGCAGGATATGACATCGCTATTGTAATAAATGTGTAAGTGCATTGCAGAATCAGAGGCTGGGGTGTTCCGCTTCAGAGCTCCCACCTGGGTCAAATGCTTCTCAGCAGCGTGGGATCCACATGCCTTTGATTTGTGCCTGTCTAGAAATTCACCCCTTTGGTAGGACTCTCTACTAGAAGTTAGTCTCTGTATCCCAGTATGTCTCATTGAGAGGGGCCCTGTCATGGGGCTGAATGGAATTGCAGGCCAGAGTAAATTTGAGTGTTTTAAAGGTCCTCTTTCTGACTGCAACGAGGTCTGATTATGAGACTGAGGTGATGTTCAGTAATAAGATTTTTGTTTGATATGGGCCCCCTTTGAATATGAATGTCTGAAAAGTGCTAACGGCTGAGTGGTGTTCCTATGTACTGTTGGCGTTCCCAGGTTTGGAGCAGGTATGCCAAGAAGCTGTCGGATCTCGCCAAGCCAGAGAACATTGACATGGCCGTCCAGTGTATGAATGAACTGATCACAAATGCATTGCACCACGTCCCCGATGTCCTCACCTACTTATCTAGACTGAAAACCCAAAGTGTCTTCAACTTCTGCGCTATTCCGCAGGTAGGTTAACATTTGCAGATGTTTTAAACAGGATCTTCTAACTGCTTCATCCTTTCCCTTGGAACTGGATGTCGTTTGTGGTCTATGCATAGTGTTTAATAGTAGCATTATTTAATAACGGTACATAAATAAATTCAACGTGGAGCTCACCAGGCATTTTGAGTGTTTGCCTCGTCCTGAGAAATTGTGTCTTTCCCCAAGGGAATGACTCTGCTTTTGGATATGGTGTGGGGGGTTGGAGAGGGGTGCTGCCAGATGAATGTAAATAAACAGGACTCTTTTTTCTCCTAAACTAAGACAATCTTACATAGTTAATGAAAATATTAGGAACCTTTCTGTTCTGTCTTCCTTGTCTTTGCTTCAGTCTTCCATTGTGAGCATTGCTTCTTTAGAAATCATTCCTCTATCCTCTGCTTTAAGCTAAGCTCTGCCTTTAACACTGTGGTTGAAATCCTGCCCCACTGAAATCAATGGGGGCTTTGCCATTGATTTCAAAGGGAGCCAGGATTTCACCCCGTGTGCACGGCTTACAGCACAGAGTAAATACTGTTTTTGTCATTTCTCCCTAGGTGATGGCCATCGCCACTCTGGCGGCCTGTTACAATAACAAACAGGTGTTTAGGGGGGTGGTGAAGATTCGGAAAGGACAAGCTGTCACTTTAATGATGGATGCCACAAACATACAGGCTGTCAAGTCTATAATGTACCAGTATATGGAAGAGGTGGGTTGGTTCGCTTGCTTTGAATGACTAACTTTCAAATGTAGATTTTCCCTCTTTCCTCCTCAGGTCTATGCAATTAGGGCTAAACTGGGGGTACCACCATAACTCTCTGTTTCAGCCGTTTAGTAACTTTCATTTTGCTTTGACCAAAATTGCTGAAGATCTAGAAACGAGTGTAGCATGAAACAGCTTGAAGTAGTAAAGTCTGGAATGCAGCTGTTTTCCTTGGTGCTTTAGATTCTCTGTCCTCACTCATTTCTGTCTCAGGTTTCATTCAGATTTTATACAAACTGTAGCATAACGCAACACCGACATTACACAGTTGTATGCAATAGGGTCTTGCATTATGCTACAATTTGTGCAAACACCCCATCTTTGTTTGTATAAATACTGTACAGTTTCCTAGTGAGTCAACTTAATGGGGAATTTCACAGTTCCTGTCTGGGAAGTTTGTATCTTTCCAGAGCATCATGGAGAACAAATGGCCTTTAATTGCTATGACTGTGCAAACTGGCCGATATGTAGGGCAAAACTTTGGTGGCTTGACTCACCTGTTTCTAAAACTGTCATCCCACAGTGCCACAATCCCTTAATGCAGATAGCCTTGCAGTCAATGGGAGTTCTCAGAAGTGCACTGGATGCTATACAGAAATAAAGCATAGTCCTCATCTCTGAGGAGCTGGTGAGAAGCTGCTGGCCCCACTGGCATCAATTACCATTGAAAACCAGGCCACCAAATTCTGATTAAACAAAATGGTTCTTGCAAGAAGATTGCTCAGGGGATGTCACATAGCCATGGACAGGGCCACTGTAGAACAGTGCTAGCTACGCTTGGGTCTATGGTTGTCCCTAGCAACATTCTGTCATGTTTCCCCTGGACCGTGTGGATGGGAACGGTCTGAAAAGTGTCTGAGAACAATATTGTGAGCTCATGCAAGGGAGTACCTTGGCCCTGTTAAAATCAGAGCTAACTGGTTCACAGACAGTTCTTGCTGGCAAGAGGCAAACGCTGCCCCTGAGTTAGATGCCACTTTGTAGTGGTTGTATGACCTCTGAGTAGCTCTGGGCTGACCTGACTTAACCATATTCATAACAGGGCTTATGATGGGTTACACAAAGGTTAGGCCCCATGGCCCAGTTTTTTAAAGGTACTTATGTTCCTAAATCCCACTGAAACCAATGGGAATTAGGCACCTCCATATCTTTTTCAAATGTGTCCCTGTTTCAAATCTGAGTGCAGGCGGTGTTAGCAAGGACTTCCAAGCAGGAACTGTTACTTTAATTTTAAACAACAGACTCCTGCACACGGCTGAAAGTGCCCTACTGCAGAAACAGCACCCAGCAGGATTAAAAAACAATAGGCCTCGTTCAGGCTAATGGCTCAAACGCCATTGCAGACTGACTCCTAAGGAGGATGGGCTAAAGTTGAGTTCAGCCGTGAGCACAGTTCTCCCACAAAACCTTCCCAGGGAAAGGGGACTAGAATCTTGCTAAGCTGGTGCAGTTCTGATCCCAGTGCGGCTTTCAAACCGGGCAGCTTTCCCATTCCTGGGGAGTATTGTCCTGCTTGAATCTCCATGGCATCACTGCGGTGACACAGCTCCTGGGCAGGAGGTCCCGTTTCACATTTGAGGGGCTACAAGATGGTGTGTTGTTCTCATGGTTATTTCCTAATCTTGCGTGGGCCTTTTTTCTCTCTTCAGATCTACCGGAAGATCCCAAGCACAGACCCGTCTTCTAACAAGACCCGGCAGATCATTGTCTCTATCCAGACAATATGTTTGCCCAAAGGCACGGTGGTCTACCGTAACCATTACTCCCCCATCTACCTCTCATGCGCCATGCTTCTGGCAGCCCTGAGCTGGCAGTATCTGAGTGCGATGTCAGAGGCGTTGGAAGAGGACGTACAGGCCAATGAGTACTGAGGGTTGGTTGGGTGAAGACAGTGGTTGGGTAATGTTGGTAATGGGTTCATGTCTCTTTCCTATTGGGTCTGCTGCCCTGTGGGATTCCAAACTGGCTTGGGCCCTTGAAGCTGTGAATGGAAAGCTGCTGGTTGACCTGCAGCTATTGGGCGTATTGCAGCCACTAGCTCGTAGCTGGCAGCCGGAGTCAGATGTTTTCGTTGTTCGGATGAACAGGTTACAAATGCGACAGTTGGAGTCTCTTCGTGGGAAATGGTATTTTACCTGAATTCTGACTGTGATATTTTTAAATAGAAATTCAGATTGCCTCCCTTGATTTTGACACCCCTTTTCAATACAAGGCTCTGTGCCATCAGCATTTGTGGTTTTCCTCTCTCCTCTTCCTGGGCTTTGTATTCTTACCCCACTGCTCAGCAATTGTAACGGTTCCAACTTGCGTCATTGGGCTCGGAAGCTAACCTTTCCTCAGACTGAGGAACTCTTCAGTACGCCGGGGGAATCTCTGGTTTCTGACCCCTTGTCTAGAAAGGCGGTGGCCTTCCACTACAGTGATCAGTGGGTGCATGCTGTGCATCCCATCCTTGTACTACAGATTGCAGGGAGACAGACTAGAGCTGTCTGGGTGCAGGAAAACTGAGCTATTTATGCCATGTGGCCATCACACCTCATCTGCCACTTTTAAAGGCCCCCCCACATCACCACCAAAATAAAGGATCCCCAGCAAGAAAATTTAACACCCGAGAAAATGTATTCCCCACTTGACTCACCCATAACTGCTCACCAGGGTCACTTAAGCCCCTTCCTGGATTTAAGAGAAGGAGCACTGCAAATGAGCATTACCACACGAACTATGCCACCTTCAAATCCACATTGCACCTGAAACACAGGCGTTATGGGCACAGTTATCTGATCTGAATTTACATTGGACCAGAATGACCTGAAGAAAGCAACACCCAGCGGTGTCAAACTACTAGAGATCTTCTGCGCTTTTAAACCTACAAACTTCAAGATTCAGCACAGGGGCAAGTGCCTATTGACCTGAACACACTGGCTTCCTAGAAACAATTAACAAAATGTGGGGGTTTCTCACCGTGCCTGGCTCCTTTCCCCTGATATGCCACTCCCCTGTTTTCCCTCCCCCTGTATCCTTTCCTCCTTGCTACCCACCCACCCCCCATTTCACTTTTACCTCTTACTGCTAAATAGGAGTTAACAGTGTAACGCTGTTGCAAAAAAAGCAAACATCATTCTGGGATGTATTAGCAGGAATGTTGTAAGCAAGACACGAGAAGTAATTCTCCCACTCTACTCCGCACTGGCTGATTAGGCCTCAGCTGGAGTATTGTGTCCGGTTGTGGGTGCCACATTTCAGGAAAGATATAGACAAACTGTAGAAAGTCCAGAGAAAAGCAACAAAAATGATTAAAGATTTAGAACAGTGGTTCTCAAACTTATTTGATCACACCTCCCTTCTTTGTGTCTGCAGTAATTTCTCCGCCCCCCCCCCCACCCCCAGCCATACAAGTATATATACCAGGGGTGGGCAAACTTTTTGGCCCGAGGGCCACATCGAGGTTGCGAAACTATGCGGAACCCCCAACCCATCCAATCCCCCCTGCTCCTTGTCCTCTGACTGCCCCCTCCCAGGCTCCCCCCTGCCCCTAACCACCCCCCTGGGACCCCACCCCTATCCAACCCCCTGTTCCCTATCCCCTGACTGCCCCGCCCCCTATCCACACCTCCGCCCCCTGATGGGCCCCCCAGGAGTCCCACACCTATCCAGCTCCCCCGTCCCCTGACCCCTGCCAGAACATCTGCTGCATCCAACCACCCCCTGCTCACTGTCCCCTGACCACCCCCTCCAGGGACCCCCACCCCTAACCACTTTCCAGGAGCCCCCCTATCCAACCCTCCCCATTCCCCGTCCCCTGACTACCCCAACCCCTATCCACACCCCCGCCCCCTGACAGGCCCCCCGGGACTCCCACGCCTATCCAACCGCCCCCTCCTCCCAGTCCCCTGACTGCCCCCCGGGACTCCCTGCCCCTTACCCAACACCCCCGCTCCCCGCCCCCTTACCACGCTGCTCAGAGCAGCAGGAGCTCGCAGCCCCACCGCCCGGCAGGAGTGGCGGGCCAGAGCTCCTGCATGTGTCCCCTTTTTGCATTTTGAAAAGCTGGGAAAGGCAAAACCTCAAACAACAAAAGAGGGAGGAAGTATGGGGGTGGGAGTACATCAGAGTGCGGAGGGGAAGTGGCTCGAGCTAAGTTCACGGAGGGGCAGGAAGACAGTCCTGGCTTTCTTCCTCCCCTGCCCACTGGCTAGCAGAGCTGCCAGCTGTGACGGGCAAGTGCCTCTTTAAAGGCAGTGGGAGTGGGGAAGCTTCCTGGCGCACTGATTGCTCTGGGAGGCCTTGTTCCTTCTTGGAGCACAATGGTTTCTGGAACTCCCCTGGGGCAGCACAGCTCTGCAAAGCCCCCAGCATGGGCCAGCGCTTCACAGGCACAATCAAAGCCTAGATGCAGAGCTGCCGAGGCATCTCATGATTGCTGGCAGGCTTCTTAAAACCCAAGCTCCTTGGAGGGATGTGATTGCAGGACTTTGTTTATTACTCTGTGTTTGCACGTCAGTCTAGTACCCCTCGGCACTACCCTAAGAAACATCATCACCCTGACCATGATCATCATAATTCTTAAGTGCAAATATCAGCTTTACTTTTTAAATAAACATGTATGTTTCTAGCCCTCACAATTGCACAGAAAAACTTGAAAACAAGAACCCGAGAGGCTCAAAAACCAGAAGAGAAAGACCCCAACACTTTTTTTTTTAAATTTCACTAAGTTAATTCCATGATTTTCTGAAGCATCAGGATCTGACTCTTCCCCCGCCCCCCAAATATGCAGAACAAATATGCTTTCACTCCATGCATCTGAAGAAGTGAGTTTTTTTTACCCACGAAAATTAAGCCCAAATAAATCTGTTAGTCTTTAAGGTGCCACCGGACTCCTTGTGTTTGTGGATACAGACTAACAGGGCTACCCCCGATGCAGAACAAAAACATGGCCCAATTAGTAACTCTGGGCTCGATTGCTCTGGAGAGCTGTAATTAGGTATTCGACTGAGCGGGTCTGACAAATGGGTACTATTTTGTGCAATGCCTGCAGAGGGTGTGGTGTGTGAAACTGGCAGGAGGGAGAGATCAGACAGTGGCAGATCTGGGGTGTGGTCAGGCGTGGGACAGAGCAGAGGCTGGGATTAGCAGGGCTCTGCTCCCTTCTGTGGCTTGTCCTAACAGGCACACAGTGAGTATCAGTGAGGCTCTTCCTGTCTTCATTGCATGTGACATCACCAAATTGAAGACAATTAGAAGAAGCCTTGGTGTTTAAGCCCCCAGGCTGCCTGGCCAGTAATAGATGCAGCCCTGCTGTCAGCTGAGGAAGGCCCAAATGCGGGATGTGGTGTGTGACAAAGACCCAACAGGAGGGACGTACAGGAAACTCCCAGTGTTGGGGGATTTCTTCCTACCGGGCTAATAACTCTCTCACCTCAGTGCTGGGGTTTTGTGTTTCTGATGTGAATTGTTCTCGGCAGGGAAAATGAGGGGTACTAGATTTTTGGGGAGTGTAGGGAGTTTTGGCGGTGAGATGAGTGCTGCCCCTTGAAACAAGGGCTGTGGGAGGGATAAACGCGATGGTTGAGAACGATATAAAGCAAACAAACCTGTTTTAAGATCTCTCCTCTCATGGGTTGTTATCTGGCTTTGGTTATATTCGTTTGTTCAGAATCAAGTGGCACTAACTTTATTTTGTTATTTAATCCAGAGGGAGGCAGCATGTCCTAGTGCTTAGAGCAGGGGACGGTGGGTCAAGGCTCCTGGGTCCTATTCCTCACTCTGCCAACTCTCACTGATGTCCCAGGATCAAGCCCTCACTGATTCCTTTTAAGTGACAGAAGCAGGGACAATTCACGCTGTGCAGTTCTGCAAACAAGGCTGTGGTTTTGCTTCCTTGCTGTCACTGTTCAGATGGGCTGCACAGTCCACCCCTCTGACTTATGGGCTGTCTCATGCCAGTGCATTTTAAGAGAGAAGGAGAGGATAGTTTTGGAGGGTGGAGTGGATGGCTCTAGGGGACTGGGAATGATGGGACTGGCACTTCACTTCTAGTTTCCTGGCTTGAACCTGTTACCATCTGCTGGCTGTTTGGTGGTCTCAACACGGTTCTCCAGTATCCACATCACAAAGTATTCAACAGGGCATGCCCAATGACATCCCAACGTGAGGGAACAGGGAAGTTGTAGCAGGGGAACTAGGACAGTATTTTTTTTGTATAATGACCGTGCTGAGATGAGGATAAAAGCCCCATTCATTGAATCTAATGGGAGAGCATAAGCTTAAACCTGAGTGTTGCTGCTTGTCAGCTTGAGAAACACAGGCCAGGCTCAGCCCACTGCAGACTTTCCTGTTGCAGCTGGAGTTTGAGTGGGGAAAGGGAAATGATCTGGGTGTTTCTATAACCCTTCCCATAGGGGTGAGGAGCATGATCACGGAAGATGAGAGGACCAGGGACAATGGCCTGTTTATGTGCAACCACATTTCCCTAAGCAGTCACTGATTTTATGCACCTCAGCTCTAGGGTACCCTGTGTGAGACCCCCAGCGTGTACACCTGCAGCTTCCATTGAATTCAGCCAGAGATGCCAGAAGGCCCGTCTGTGAAGAGGTTCCAGTTGCTGACTGCTCCTTTTGTGGGGCAGGTAGTGGCCAAGGTGGGAGGAAGCAGCAGGCAGAGAAACCTGAAGGATCTGAAAGCAATGAGGCTCCAGGACTCTCAGGTGAGCTATGCTAAAAGGTAGCTTTGTCTGGAGATGTCAGCCCTGCCTCACAAACCTCCCCTTCCCTGCCCTAACTGCAGTGCTGGTGCTGCAAAGGTGCAGGGTGTTGGCATATGGGAAAACCTATAGTAACATCCGAGTAGCCTCTTGGCCTCAGTGTGGAACATGTCCCTAGTTTGCAGCTCTAAACGGGTGCTGTATAGACAGACATAGGCATCACCCACATGGCTATAGGACTAACGTGAAGGCACCTTCAGCTGTGAACAGTGGCCACTCTATATTGAGAAGGTTGAGCTGAGGGTCAGAATTGCAGAAAGGGAGGGACGTGGGGGAACTAGGGTACGCACAGGGAAAATTCCCAGAGTGCTTTGCTTTTTGACTGTCCATAACCCAGAATAAATTAACTTCCTAGTGGAATTTAAGTCAACAGGGCTTCACTGTGAAGGGCCAAAGCATCATTGAATGCCATGCAGAGGCCCACCAAATAATCACAGACTCATAGACTTTAAGGCCAGAAGGGACCATCATGATCATCTAGTCTGACCTCCTGCACATCACAGACCACAGAACCTCACCCACCCACTCCTGTAATAGACCCCTAATCGAGTTACTGAAATTCTCAAATCTTGGTTTAAAGACTTCAAGTTATGGAAAATCTAGTTTAAACCTGCAAGTAACCCATGCCCCATGCTGCAGAGGAAGTCAAACCTCCTCGCATCCCTTGTGTCTGCCAATCTGACCCAGGGAAAAATTTCTTTCATGACTCCAAATATGGCGATCAGCTGGACCCTGAGTATTTTGGCAAGACCCAAACACCTGGGAAAGAATTCTCTGTTGCAACTCAGAGCCCTCCCCATGCAGTGTCCCATCACTGGCCGTTGGGGATATTTGCTACTAGCAGTCACCGATCGGCTACATGCCATGGTAGGCAACCTCATCGACTGATGTGTATTGTGACAACCTGACCCGTGACATCTGGGTGCAGATGTGGTCGCCCCATCTCAAAAAAGATATACTGGAATTGGAAAAGGTTCAGAAAAGGGCAACAAAAATGATTAGAGGTATAGAATGGCTTCTGTCTGAGGAGAGAGTAATAAGACAGGGACTTTTCAGCTTGGAAAAGAGGTGACTAAAGGGGGATATGATAGAGGTCTATAAAATCATGACTGGTGTGGAGAAAGTAAATAAGGAAGTGTTATTTACTCCTTCTCATAACACAAGAACAAGGGGCCACCAAATGAAATTAATAGGTAGCAGGTTTAAAACAAACAGAAGAAAGTATTTTTTCACGCAACGCACTGTCAACCTCTGGAACTCCTTGCCAGAGGGTGTTGTGAAGGCTAGATAACAGGATTCAAAAGGGAGCTAGATAAATTTATGGAAGATAGCCATTCATGGACCTATTAGCCAGGATTGGCAGGAATGGTGTCCCTAGCCTCTGTTTGCCAGAAGCTGGGATTGGGTGATAGGGCATGGATCACTTGATGATAACTTG